CTGCTGATATCCCATCCGTTTGTCTTCTGCCTCAGTGCTAGCTTCAGAGCAGGCAGCTCTCGGGTTACAGAGAGAGGGAGGGTTTGTCAGAGCCCCAGGTGGTGGCAGGGACAGAGACCATCTATGGCTCTAGGACTGACAGCTGCTGAGGGAGGACAGAGTTGCTTCTATCAGCTCATCAGTGCCTCAGCATCCTTATGTTGCTGTGCAACTTGCTTTTTTTCATTTGTTAGTTTTGGATGGTGGTAAAAATTTTTGTTCCCTTAAGTGAACAGTTTTATTTAAGGTCCAGAAATGAAGAGAAATAGCCTGTCCTCCTTTTCCATCTCTCTCTGGTTGCTGTTTACGGCAGTGATGCTTCAAGGTGAGAATACTGCTTGATAGCTAAATGTTGCATTGAGGTTTATTTTACTCGAATAGGGGCTGGTGTCCTGATGAGTCTTACATGGTTGAGCTCCAGAAGTCTTTAATCTGTTTCATTTTACTGTCTCACAGATGCATAGACAAAATGAATGATCATGTGCAGCCAGAACTTAAATGCTCTTTATGAAGCTTTAATTTGTTAGTATTTCTTTTTAATTGGGAAGGCTTGCTTTGAACTCTTATTAGTCCAGGAAGTCACCGTGAGTCACTAGTGATGTACTCCAAAGCACTTGCTTCATATTTAGTGCCAGCTGGCATTTGCGCAAGTCTTGAGTGTTACTGTCCTTGCCCTTTGCTTGCAGAAATGCGTGAATCTGTCTAAAGGTAATACAGAGACTGCCTACAGAAACTGTGATGCGCAAAACTGTCTGGAACAGAAAAAGTGTCTTTTAAACCCTAAAGTTTCAGTGAATTATCCTTAGTGACTAAGTCTGGACAGCAAGAAGCATCTCTAAATACAGGTTTGGAAGACATCAGTGCGAGGTTGTGTTCGTACACCATTCAATTACCAATTTGTGAAGAAAAGCAGCTCAGACTTTTTCCAGGTGGTAGTTGGAGTCATGCTACTTTCAGAAATTACTCTGTCAGTGCTGCGTTTAGGGAGATATCACAAATTCTTAGCCTGGGAGAAGGTTTGACTTCAGACTTTGCTTCTAATTTTAGCTTGGCAGATGTGTGCCTGTAAGTCAGTAATCTCTTGTCTATGAAAGATCTGTAAATAAATTATATTTACCTTCAAAAAAAAATACAGGAATCCCCTTATGCAGAGTTTTTTTCAGTGGGTGTGAAAAGCTAGAGTTAGCTGTTCTTTTTCTGCAGGTGACTGCTGTCTTTATTTGAATAGCTTCATCAGTTTTACCTCTGTTTCTGCACTAAATTATATTTTACAGTATATGAATGATATAGTTACAGCAAATACTGCTTGAAGCTGTAGAAAGGATGTCTTCTGATACTGCTCAGTGCTTAATCTGATGTATTGAACAAATTATGTTATCTAGCTGTAGAATCAGCCAAAGGAAAATATGCTCACATGCTGTTTAATGAACTGTTTGAAGATTACTCAAATGCTCTAAGACCAGTGGAAGACACAGATAAAGTACTGAATGTCACCCTTCAGATCACATTGTCCCAAATTAAAGACATGGTGAGTAAGAGTACAGTTCTCTTTTCTTAAAGATGTGCAGAAATGTACTAGCTGTAAACCTTTAGCTTAGAGTAGGAAAAGCAACCTGCATTTTGTTGTGACAACTTCCAAGTAATGCTCCTTCACAAGGGTTGTGTTCTCCAGTTCTTTGTAGATTCTTATCTGGTTGCAACATGAAGACTTCCATTAAAAGTCTGCAAGCTTAGAGCTGCTGAATTGTTAAGACTCCTCGTGTAGTTAGGCGTTGGTATTGCACCCTCCAGGCAACTTTTGCTGAGTTTTAAACACAAAGAGCAAATGCTTTTTCTAAGATGCCATTCACTTCTACATAAACTCCCTATTTTAGCCTTCAGTAACTTTTTCATAAATTTCGTTCAGCCAGATATACTTTTAAGGCAAAAGAAAATGTGCCTGGAAAGAGGATGGAAAATCACTTTTGTGACTTCTGAATTACAACTTTGAGGCCTTGCTAAGCTTTCAGAGAATTTGTTAGACAGAATCTGTTAGCTGTTTGATATTCTGAAGCTTGCAAAAGGAAATTCTTAAGATACTGGGAGCTTTAGACATTTATGGTGAAATGTAGGGAGGGTGCAGAGGGAAGAAGGTTTGGACAAGAGAAAGCTCAAATAAATGAAGCCCCTGTACAGTGTATGGGCATTTGTACATGTCTGAGAAGTACTCCTGTGGCCTGTCAGTATTCTGGCCTGATTTGGGCACTATTTTAAAGCTATTCAACAAATGCATTCTGCATCTAAAATGTGATTTTTGTCACCTTCAGCTAGAAATATTTCTACATTTTTGTGCAGGATGAAAGGAACCAAATTTTGTCAGCTTACTTATGGATTCGACAAAGCTGGTATGATGCATACCTCAAATGGGACAAAGATAAATATGATGGGTTGGATTCTATCAGGATTCCAAGCAATTTGGTTTGGAGACCAGATATTGTCCTATATAACAAGTGAGTGCGGCTGGAGAAAATCAGCTTGAACATTTGTCTGAGGGAGGGAGGGGGTTGAAGGAGGAATTGACACAGAGTCTGAACTTTCATCACTTTACCTTACCTTAGCAAGGGTTATGTTTGTTGTCTTAACATTTGTTGTTGATCATCTAAATATTTTGTAATAAAGACATAGACAGGAATTGGCAATTGATTATGCTACACAGCAAAGCTGTTCTGACTTTTTTTTTTTTTGCCCTGGAAATTGAATACTCTGGCAGTCTGAAGTGCTTTCTCCTTAGGCTGCTGAAGAGCTCTGTAAGATTGTCTGCAAAAAGGTGGTGTATGAAGGCTGCACTCCTTGTCTGCTCTCCCAGGCCAGTAGTGACCAGAAAATTATTTTCATCTTTGAATGGATTCTTACCCTACTGTATCCTGTTTGAGGTCAAGTTTAAAGAAGCTATGGCTGACAAATATAACGTAATTTAACAGCACTGATGTTTGGCATTAATAGGCACTGGTACTTGTAAATAATAGGTAGTAGTAAGTTCCTACTAAAATTCAGTATAAATATAAATATGCTTTTAATGTTGTGAAGCGAGGGTCTTCTCCAGTGCCTTCCCTTCCCTGGCTCACATTCTAGGTTGTTGCCTGTTAGTCCTGACTGTCACTTTTCTGTCTTTTAGGGCTGATGATGACTTTTCGGAACCAGTGAATACTAATGTTGTGTTGAGATATGATGGAAAAATCACTTGGGATGCACCTGCTATCACAAAGAGCTCATGTGTAGTGGATGTATCTTATTTTCCTTTTGACAGCCAGCAGTGCAACCTTACATTTGGGTCCTGGACCTATAATGGTAATCAGGTAGACCTCATCAATTCTCTTGACGCTGGTGACCTCTCTGACTTTGTAGAAGATGTGGAATGGGAGATTCATGGTATGCCAGCGGTTAAGAATGTCATCACTTACGGCTGCTGTTCTGAGCCTTATCCAGATGTGACCTTCACACTGATTTTGAAAAGGAAGTCATCTTTCTACATATTTAATCTGTTACTTCCTTGCATTTTGATCTCTTTCCTGGCCCCACTGGGATTCTATCTCCCTGCAGACTCTGGGGAAAAAGTGTCTTTGGGTGTTACAGTTCTTCTTGCTTTGACTGTGTTCCAGCTGATGGTTGCAGAGATCATGCCTCCCTCTGAAAACATACCTTTGATAGGTGAGCTTTACATGCTTTGTCTTTAAACATGGTTTATAGCAGAGCTGTATGTCAGGGAAACCATATAGAACTTGTGGCTTCTGGGAAGATAAACATTTATTAAAACGTAGTGAAATACTTAAAATCTGCATGGAATTTGTACAGGTATGCTGCAGCTTTTTAAGGTTATTTTGTGTTTATTTTAAATTATGAGCTAGCTATTTTGTATTTATTAAATATAGTTAGACATTTAGAATTATTTTAACATGTCATGTAATAAAGGTAGTAATAGGAAATAATTTTAGAACCAATGTATGAAGTGTAAGCAAGAGCTGTAAGTACAAGGTCAGACTGTTCCAAGGTATGTTTCTGTCAGGTACAGATGGTTGGATAGCCTGGCTGGGACACTCAGGGTTGACTAAATATTTGACAATTGATACATTGAATTGTAATGCCTGGCAATCCATTACGCTGAATTTTAATTTACGTCTGAGTTCAGAAGAGCTGATGTGAAAGGGTGGTGTTCAGCACTGTCCCTTCTGCTATCTGCCAGGACCCTCCTCCTGCTCCTGGTTGATCTGCCCTTGAGGCACAAGGCTGCCCTGGTGGGATTTCTGGAGGACTAGGAACACAGTTGCTTCCACACTGTCTTCCAGCTTTAAGATAATGCAGATCTCATTATTTTTAGTCTTATTATTACTGTATATAGAAAAAAATGTGTGGCTTAACTGAGACAAAACACTGGTTGATGAATAGGACTGTTGAATGTATTTCCCACACCAGAAGCAACTATTCCTGCCTAAGAATGATCTTGGGCTTGCTGTACTGCACTACCTTCCCTACCCTCCTATCACATTGTCTAAATTAAGGAGCCAGGACCTAGCTTCAGTCTGCTTTCTCTGTTCCCTCATTCTCCCTCACCATCCTTTCTGACCCCTTTCAAAAGCGGGATCACATCACGCTTGTCTGGGATGCATCCTGTGTCATGGATGGCAGCCCTTGCTTTTCCTGCAGAGGCTGCACAGCAGCAGAGCAGGGCTGGGAGGTGCCTCTTTGCATAAGGCGCAAGCCAAAGTAGATTAGTTGGTCAGCTGTGAACTTTAGGTGTGAGAAGCAGTGGCTGAGGAGCATAGCTTGTATTCCCTGTATTTGTAATCTGTTCCTGGCCAGAACGAGCTTTGTCCTTGTTTGGACCAGCCATGCTAAAATTTGCAGAGTCTGAAGATAATCCAGACAAAAAATCTCAACAGGCAACGGAGCCACCCTTCAGCTCTGTGCCTGGCCTCTTAGCTGTTGGTACACTAGTTGTGGATACCAGTGAGGTCTGAATATTCACTGGGCTGTGTGGATGTGAAGGCATCCATCTGCTGGTGTGGGGTGTGTCAATAGCACCAACAAAGTGTTATCACTTTTGTTAATACATCAGGAAGTGGGATTTCCAATGTGCTACATGAAGCCCTCAACACTGGGATTTTGCAGACATCAGCAAGTGTCCTGATAAACATTTTTAAACTGCATTCTAAATGGGTGTATTTTGAGAAATTGATGTTTTGGGTCGCAGATGTTTACCATGTTAATACAATAGTCACTTGTCTGATAAAGGCGTGCCAGTATGAAGTTTTACTTTAACGGCTTTAATCATTGTTTTAAAATGGTAAATTGTGATCTAAGTAGAGAGAATGGAGGTATTACAAATTGGTTTCACTTGTGTTTGTTTAGCACTATGTTGTCACATTGTTATTTCTGCATTGAATTGTTTTATTAGGGTAGCATTTTTAATGATTTTGGTTTGTGTTCCAGGAAAGTATTACATAGCAACGATGACCATGATCACAGCTTCCACTGCATTGACGATCATTGTAATGAATCTCCATCACTGTGGCTCAGAAGCAAAGCCTGTTCCACAATGGGCCAGGGTAGTTATTTTGGACTACATGTCAAAAATATTTTTTGTTTATGATGTGGGTGAAAATTGCACAAGTCCGAAAAGAGAGAAGGAAAAAGAAAATAAGTTAGAGGGGGATGATGGGTGTCAGAGGAGGCTCAAAGAGGTAAGAAGTGATCTCAAGGAGAAGCTCAATGGACATTTGAATAAAAGCTATGGAGTTCATGGTGAAAACGTTAGGGAAACTGTTAATTGCTGTTCCTGTTACAAAATGCTAACTAAAAATATCGAGTATATTGCTAATTGTATTTGAGACCATAAAGCAAACCGGGCCAAAGGAATTGAGTGGAAAAAAGTTGCAAAAGTGATGGACAGGTTTTTCATGTGGATTTTCTTTATCATGGTGTTTTTCATGAGTGTGCTGATTATTGGGAAAGCAGCTTAACTGAAGATGAGCATACTCATTTTGTAAATATAAATAAACTGGGTTAGTTTGTTTCGGTGGAGCTCCAGGGCAGGGATGCTTTTGAGATCTGTCTTGCATTCTCTAATAGTAAGCAAATTGACTCTGTAGGCCATGACAGTGTATTGAGACATTGCTCAGCTGAGGGCTTTGTTAGTGACTGTCCTTGTCTTTTAGTACAGGACTGCATCCCTGATGAAGTTGCTGGGTAAGCACTCTGTTGCTCCGTCTTGGTGGGTGGTGGCCATGACTTCATGCTGAATGTAGTGGAGCACTGCAGCGATGGAGTAGACAGCCTAGTAGGGAGCAATGTATTCACAGGGCTGCATCTCTGCACCTTGTAACCTAGCCAGCACATTCTCTCCCCCAGAAAAAAAAAGAGTATTTATGGTATGGTGACGGTTCCTGGAAATCATCCCTTCATGGCTTTGTCTTATTTTTTTTCCTTTTTTTAGTGTCTTCCTAACTTACCTTTTTGTTATGGCTCTTTCTGGTCACTGTTCCTATCATTTCATAGGATCGACCTGTCTATATGCTGTCTGGTGTGCCTTTCACTTCTAACACCTTTGAGCTTACTGAACATAATGGTTACCTTGATCTTCTGCTTAATCATTTCCTGCTGCTGTATATTACCCCGTAGCTCCAGTAAGTCAAATTTCCAGGACTACTTCCTCACCAAGTTGGAGGGCCTCTCTTCCATTCTCTTTCTCTTGAGCTTAATAATAGGAAGGGCTTCTCCTGTCCTTCCTAGATGTCTCATTCCCCTGGGCATTTGTGCAAGATGGGTCTTTAAATGCTACTTGAGACTGCTAAAATAGGAGGCTGTGACTTTGGTCTCTGCTCATTCTGGTCATCTGACCTTTGCCAATATTCACCCTATGTGTCACTTGTCCACTCTTACATCCTCTTTAATACTTAAATTTTAAACTCTTCACAGTTGCTCTGTGCATTACTTAGCACAAAACCATGATGTTACAGGCTCATTATAGTGCCATAATCAACACTGCTTGCACAACATGTTAGTACTTATAGTGTGTGTTGCTGACACCACTAAAACCTCTTTGTGTTAATTTGTTAACCCTCTCATCTTCCAGAGCTCTCTTAGTCTATCTCACGTAGTAAAGAGAGAAGCTAGTACCCTAGGCATGCCTGTGGGAGATAAATTTCTTTTACAAAGCACCCTGAACTTTGAAACCATGATATTCTAGATGCAGTGGGAGAGGCAGAATAACACTGTAATGGATCCCAGTCAAAAGTTCATGTGATAAAGCTCATTTTCATGATTGTTGCAGTTAATAGGAACATACCTGTGAAGATGTAACTTAACGAGGAGCCAAAATGGCAAAGTGATGCAGTTGTTATGCCCAAATTTATTGGAAGAAAGGGAATTGTAATTATTATGATGATGATGTAAATGATACATTGAATTACTAATGGCAGGTTTTCTTTTGTGTGGAATAATCAATGCTGTAAGCTTACCTGGATTCTCATACATAATGCAAGCCTGAAAGTCCACATTCTATTGTAAAGCTAAAGTGGCTGGCTAGCCAAGAATAAACTCAGTATGTGGAAAAAGTCTCAAGTGTGTTCCCTGTATGTTATCAGTTCCCAGTCAACCAGGGTAACTTTGAATAGCTCCTTTCGAAGACAAGGTGTTCACTTTCACTGTGCAGAAAAATGGTTGCACCCATTTGCCGTGGAGTTCAAGGTTTGACACTTGAACTGCCTGTTTGAGGAAAGAAGTTTGTTCTTTGTTGTGGAAAAAAATACTGTCCCAGAAGCCTGGGGAGCGAAGTATTTGACAGTAAGGGTAACATATTTAGAACATGGGTCTTCAGCATGGAAAACAATGACCAAGGTCTTGTCCAAGGCTTATGGGTGGCATAAAGGAAGTAGAGAGTTACTGTTCACTGTGTCTTCCAATATAGGAACTGGATACATCAGATATACACAGAGTGTGACAGTGGAAGAGTCTGTACAATATGTGAGAATGTTGAGGAACTCCTTGCAACAGGATTTGTGAATGCTGAAAGATTATATGGTATTAAAGAGCTGCGGGAAAAACACGAAGTTGGCATACTACTAAATACAGGGTTGAAAGGTGAAACAATATTTCAGTGATTCATGACTAAAGTTCTTCATCCCATTGGTGGCATCCATTGGAGACAGCTTCTAGGTTTAGGCAGATCTTTAGTCTGACTCAATATCTTTCTTAGAAATTCACATTGTGCCTGTGCCATTCTGTTCAAAACAAACTGCAGCAAGGGTACAGTTGTGGGCTTCCCTTGTATAAGGGAAAGTTTGCAGTTGTAGATGGATGATGGTCCTTTTTATCCTGCTGGTGCTCCTCAATGTGCTGCATGCTTGGATGATGATGATGTTGAAATGATACTTTGCACTTCCCTAGCATGTTTTACGTGAAGATGTGATAGTACTAAAGAATTCTTTTCCTTACAAGAATGTGATTTGAAAATTATTCCTAGCTATCTGAGTTCATTAACTATTCAATTTGCTTTTTTATTTTTTTCTGTTTTCCCTTTTGGATCACTAGGCATTCTCAAGTATTTATCTTCCTTTATTTACATATGATGAACCTTCACCTTGCTCTTGTAACAAACACTTTTCTGTTTCTATTTCATAAGAGCCAGATCTAATAAAGAATGTGAGCAGCAGGTGATGGAAGCAGGTAGAAGCTGGTACCTGAATCATTATTGTGAAGCCTCATGATAGGAGCCTCAGAGTCACATCTTTGGACTTTATAATTTTCCAGGGTAAAACCACCATGTGGTGCTTCATGGCTGTGCTTCTGGTGACAAGGCTGACCCGAGGTCCATGCTACTGCAGCCATACAAGGGCTAGCTGGCTTAAAGCTAGCTAGCTAAACTGTAGGGACTGTAGTTTATGTGTCCCCCCCAAGTCTTATGTTCAGTTTGTGTATGTCTGTATTTAGCTATTTCACTAAGAAAAAACCTGCTCTAAATCAACCAAGTGTGTTAGCAGTCAGAACTGTATGCAACAGCTCTAGTGCTGAGTGGAGACAAGAATGTTTAATCTAATTGTCTGTCCTGATCTCTTCCTCTTTCCTGTGTGTGTCTTATGCTTAGATCTTTGAGGAAGATTAAATCCAGAAATGATGAATGACTGTGATTATAGTAACAGAAAAATAACTATTTATGCACTTGTCTGAGTAGCTCTACAGGCTTAACATGAAGGCAGCAGGGTGACTTTATATTTACTGAAGAGCAAAATGATGCTGTAAAAATACTGTTTGAGATCAGTGTGCTTCAGAGGCCTTTGAGGAATGAGCTAACTTTTTTTTTGTTGTACCATCTCTTGGCAGAGAGATCACCTGTCCCCTCTTGTATTAGAGTCATTGCAGTGTTAAAATGAGGAGAAATATAAGTCCTGTTATGCCTTCGCTGTGTTCTCTTCTGTGAGCAGGATTACAGAACTGAAGATGAAGTGTGATGGGATGTTGGAATGTTGAGTTTACAATGGTGCAGAAAAGTAGGAGATGCTCTTAGTTACCCAAGAAAATCTGTTTCTGTTTGGAAATTGCTGCCTGAAAGTACAGGCTAAACTCAAAAGGATCATCCTGGACAGTAAATGACATCTTGAAATAGAGAAGTGGGTTTCTCCATGTTTCAGGAATTCAGATGTTACATCATAAGCTATTTGCATGTTTTGTCCTCTAGTTAACAAAGCTTTGTTCTCTGACCCTGCCAGAAGTATGGGAAGTGTCTGAGAGTTGTTTGTCAAGAAGTGTAAGGACTAGCAAGAACTCCTGATCATGTGTGTCTGTCCAGTTTGAGAAACAGAAGGCCTGTAATGTGATTGTTTAGGAGATGGGGAAAAGGAAAGTGTGGGATGAGAGGGAATTCCGTTCATTCTGTTTATAAAACTGGGAAGAATCTATCTTTTATTCTTACAAACTTCCATTTCTTGTTGAAGAAAATATGTTGACTCTTGTTTTCAATCTTAAAATCCTTTAATCAGTGACAGGATATAGGACCAAAGGTGGCCTCTGGAGTTTGTGTGCAACCACCCCTTTTGTACTTTCTGGCAGAGTGAGTAACCTAGAGCTCAAAGGAGCAGAGCAAACTGAACATCTCTTTTCACTGATTCTGAAGTCCACTAGAAAGGAGAAATCTTTCTTTGTCAGAAACAAGTCCAGTTGTGCGGAAAGAACAAGAGGTAGCAGAGGAGCCTGTATCTCCTTTGTGTTGTGCAAATTAGAGCTTCATTGTCTCTAGATATCTTTTAAGAATTCCTTGCTGTAAGGTGGCAGCGAACAATACTGTTTTTACATTGCTTGTGGTAAGGAATAACTGAGATTGCAAGTATCCAGCTCAAGTTTGTTCTTACATGTTTCTTCCTAAATACTTTTCTGCATTTGGTTCCTAGTCTACAATCCACAGACCACTGAAGGTCTGCAAGGCTACCAGGAACACGTGGTAATTGTTCCATTGGGGTGCAGGGTCTGACCTTGCAGCAGGCTAGTGATGAACCAAGTCATGCCTGTTCTTGGTCGTGCAGGGTCCTGTGTTTCTTTGGTTGGCCATGACTGCTGCGTTTCCAGGTGTAGTTCTAGCCATTGTGTTTGAGAAGGCAATTCAGGGGTACCTTTGCAACAGGACTAAATCCACATAAAACTGGTTGGGGGGGATGTCAGTTGTTGAGGTGCATAGCAGTGTGGAGAATGTGATCTGTACTTAATTTCAGATGCAGTTTTTGCACAGAACTGTTATGCCTTGGTCTATTCTTGGGCACTCCTGCTTCAGAGTAGATGTCAATCTAGTGAACATCTGGAAGAGACAAATCAAGATTAAAAAATGGCAGCTACAGTTTTAAAGAGGGTTTTTAATTCTAGCTCCTGAAAATAGTTATTTAAAAAGATTCAGTGCTACCTTCTAAGTAACCCACCTAGAATTACAGATTTTTCTGGGGAGCAGTTATTGTTGTTTGCTTCTTCTGCCATTCTG